ATTTTCAGGGGCAGTACGGCGATTGATAGGGGCACCGACGGCAATCGCCGTCGGTGCCGTCGGTTCATTCGAGCCCTGTCCCTGACACACAGGGGGGCTCCCTCACACACGGGGGGAGGGGGGCGTCGCGCGCTACCTTTGCGTTGGCATATCCGAGCTTGATAGTGATGTTTCTCTCTAGCTCCTGCTTGTGTCGAACCGTCTGCACTCCCGATATCGCCTTGACAACCGTCGACTTGCCATGCGCCACGTGTCCGATCGTACCTGCGCGCCGAAACAAGCGGATGTTAACGAGACAGGGGGCGCCGCGACGAGCGACCGTTAACGAGACAGGGATCGCCGCGACGATCAGCCGACATGCCGCATCACATTAACGTCCAGGATTTATTCGCAGTAACCTAATCCCGGTTTCCGAGAGGCCTGGTTAATGTCTGGGACTCATATCGTGATACGGGAGCGCGTTGTCGAAAACAAAATTAGTCTTAACTTTAGTCTTAACATTGGTTTCAACGTAAATCTTTCTCGTAGAATGCTGAAAATGTTTCTTCAACCTACCGATATTAATTGTTGCTTGCCTGCTAATGACCTCTGGTGTCAGCGGTGTTAATTCTTTTATATCCTGAAATCGTAAGAAACCGAAGTGAATCATAGCGCCGCATTACAGAGATTACCGATATCGCCTTATTTTTTATTAATTACCGAGGCAGTATATCCCTGCGTAAAGCAATGAAAAAAATACACGGGGGCTCGGGGCGATTTAGCACCCGAATGCCAAAAAGAGCTCCGGAAATGCCAAAAAGAGCACCCGTAAATTTGCATAGAGTTCAATGCAAACCAAATTTTAGAGTGCTATTTTCATCCACGCGAGCTTGAAAAGTAGCCCCCGAAAAATAAATTTTATTTTTTCCCCTGGCGTAAAGCAATGGGTGAGTCTCTATTCCTATTGTGTAACCATTAACAGAAAAGAATCTGCCATTATCGCATAATTAAGCACTGAGAAGGTGGTAGTTCTAAGTAGAAGTATCAGTAGTGACACTGTCACTAGAACCAACTGGACAGCACTGTGTAAATTGCGGTAGGACAATTTGGCAAGTTATCATGATAAATAAACATTATTAAAGGAATAATAGGTACATAGGACGAATGCTAGAGTAACTGGCACCTTGTGTAATTAATAAGTACATTACCTTATAGCCAAACGCGTATTAGTTTGTCCAATATCACTGCTGGTAGCCTGGTTACTAAGAAATTTCTAATTGAAATCCGCAGTCCAAAAATCAGTTGTTTACAGTT